ACTCTTTCTTCTGCTTCTCGAGGGATGCGTTTCATGTTATGTGCACGTCATGCACAAATTTGAACTTTGGATTTAAACCCTTACTTCACTTGCATTTAAATTATGTAAATATCAAACCCAAGCCCTGTGAAATCCAAAACAGGGAGCATCTCGTCCTGGTTCAGGATAAAACAGGCTTGTCTTCTTCCTGTTATGCATTTTGAATGGCCTAGTGCAGGGCCAGGCTGGTATTTAAAGTGTTTTCCAGCAAACATTGCTTCAGGGTGATCTTGTCTCCTTCCTGCCTCCAATTTTCTCTTGTACAACTTCCACTTCTCAGTGTCACGAATATTCATTCACCAGGTAAACTGATGTCAAGTTACTATTCAGACGGTGCAAAACTTCCTTGCTTTCTTTCCTAGAGATGTGACTACCAGAAGGTGGCTGGACATGGTGAGTCCAGTACCTAAGGCACATCTGCGAGAATAAAAACCTTATCCCGAGGGGAGGGACGTCAATATATTTGTGTCAGCTGTTCTTTCCTGACACTACTGGCTGGATAATCACCTGCTTTTTGAGCTCATTAGCCTGCAATTAATTGACAAATAGACAGGGTGGCTGCGAGCAGCAGTGACTTTGCAGCAGCACCTCCCTGGCAGCTCCCCTCTATTTCTGCAGCATTAGCACAGCCAGGGTGGTTGTGCTCGTCCCACCTTTGAAGGGAAACAACTCAGGATAGAAGTAAGTCTGTGGAAATTTCTTTCTACTGGGAGAAAACACTTTTTTTCCTGCTATTATAAAGTAACACAGATATAAAGGCAGCAAATCCCAAGTTCAAAACGGAGACTACAGAATAACGTGCAAAGAAACCCAGTTCCCTGCTGTGACCACAAACACAAGTGAGAGTTATTTAAAACTTTGCCTACAAACCATATCTTGGCAGAGTGGAGAGGTAGGTCTGATCTACTTTTAAGATATGATAACATATTTATGGCTATATAGGAATTAAATTTTTTTGCATGCCAGCAAAAGCCCTAGAAAAAACATAGTTACACTGGCCAAAAAAGAGAGACAAACAGAAAAACAGACAGATCTTTTGGGGCAACCAACTTAAACTGGGTCCATACAATGCTCCCAAGGAATATAACCTGTCTTCTCTTTGAGTTTGTAAAGACAAAAATCACCAGTTTCAAGTACAGAGCAGAAAAAAACTACATTCATAACAGGACACACTAAAAGATGATGTCACCTTCCCCAGTTCCAGCATAGGCAACAAAATCTCATGAGGGGGAAAAAAATCCAAAATTAAAAATACCCTCAATATAAGGTCAAAGAAATCACGCCAATCCAGAAATCAGCATGCAACAAGGCCTTGATTACAGTCAGCAAATGAAGTAAAGAAAAAATGAACCACAAGGAAAATAACTGAAAATGAGGTGGGGATGGTGGGGCATAAAATCCTAAAAAAACCCATAGGCTACCCTCAACATAAGGGAGGAGAAATCACAGCTCTTGCTCACTTTGCTTTAACAAAGTGCATAAAATCACATGCTTTCACTCCTTGACAAAATTGTAAAAGAATGTAAGGAAAAAAGATTGCCATGCAAAATAGGGCATTTCGATTTCTCGAGTCAGAACTTCATGACACATTTTTTAAAAGGGGTCACTTTTTCTCAAAATACCAAGTGGTTTTCCTCACTCCCTCCAAATGCAGGTTATTTTCTTCATAATTTTCACCTCTGCACTGTTGAACATAATGGGACAAATAATACATGATGCACAAATAAGTCATAATGCTCCATGCAAGTTATTAGCAGTGAAATGCTGAATATGTGATAAATCTAGACCTGAAAGTGAAATATGCCTCCTAATTAAAAATCAATTATTAAAACCAGTAAAGAATGAAAAAGAAAAAAGGCTCACTCACCAAACTCATAATGAAATCCTGGAAACTTCAGAGTTATTTGAAAAGCAGAAAGAAACCTTCAACATCTATATTTAACTAAAGACTCTACTGTGGATTTCTCGATTTTATGATTAAACAGTTCTGTGAAAAATTGTTTCTGGTATCTTTTGTGCTTTTATCTCTTCATTCCAAATGGTCATGAACATGAATAGACAGCATTTAAATGGAGAATGCAAGAACAAACCATTACTCTGGCTCTGGGAAATCAAAGTACACGGATGCCCTGATGTGGCCCCGAGGTGACACAGGGATGATAAGCACAAAACCACCAGTCCCTGAATTTAGATCCAAGTGCAAGATGTTTACCCACAATGTTGTTTAGTGACAGATCTTTTCCAGTAGATGGTTTTAACACACACAAACTTAGACCAGGGTGTGCAAATAACTATTTCCAACCCATTTGTGTTCAGTTCTGGAAAGATTTCAAACGTAGAACAGCTCAGAAGCAGCTCAAAATCACAACACCTGTCGCACAGGCTTGGACAAGCAGAAATTTCCAGTTTTCTTTTGCTGTAAATCTAAGATATGTATTCATACCCCCAGCAGTGACAGAGAGATTAAATTAACGAGCATTACTGAAGAGATCTGAATCCCATTATTGGAGAAACTATGCTGGTATTATGCATTATCATAAATATTCAGCATCTGCAATCAAAAGAAGGCTTTCGTGTTTACGTATATAATAAAGTTTTAATAATTCACTATCAATACTTCACGTGGAGTGCTGCCACCTCTTCCTTCTGGATAAAGGAAAAAATACATCCAGCATTTAAAATCCACAACCACCCAGCTGGGAATGAAAAAAATCCCTTGTACAGAGAAATGCCTGTGGCCAGTATTTTTCCAAGAGCCAGGGGCTCCCAGCTCCATCCACCTGTGGAAGGTGGGTGGGTGGCCAGGGCTGCCTCCATGTTGCATCCCCCCTTGGCAAGCTCCAGCCTGCAGACCCCACACACCCTCCATGGTGCCTGCCCAAAATCTGGAGTACTTTGGCTACGAAATTCTCAGGGGTTTTCCTCAGAAAACTGGGAAAACTCAAGCGAGCGTTTCCTGAGGACATCTCGGCCGCCCTGCCCAAGGGCAGCTCGTGGCACCTCCAGAGCGCCAACACAGCCCCTCAGACATCAGCACTCACACTCTGAGCCATAAAACTGTCACATTTGGCATTCTACCTGTATCACAAGCAAGGGGGTACGTTGCTATCCTTCCACTGGAGATTACAGGGTGTGGGATTGGGGTTCTGGGCACAGAGGCTGCAGCAGATCCCCCTGTGGCCGCCCCCAGCCCGGCACAGCCGGTTCCCTGAGGGACCCACTGCCTGCCCAAACCCAGCCTGCCACAGCAGCTTCCCAAAGGTCCTGAGGGCACTTGTGTTAAAAAGGGTGCTAAAAGCCCCAAAGGATGTCGGGGAAGGAGGAGGGATGGAGAAGCAGAGAAGAGAAGTAGAACCAGCCCCCTGGGCTGCCACCAGCTCAGCCTGCCCTGAGGGGTGGGAGACCAAAGAGTCCATGGCAGGAGGGAGACAGCAGGAGTTTCCATTGCCAATATATTCCTTTCAACACATAAAATATGGAGAAAATCCCAACTTGACCTACAGCACAGGTTCATCCCAACTGCTGCAGAGGGAGAGCCACATTATCAAGTGCCACGCTGAGCAGACATCAACTTCTGAAGTACAGTCCAGCTGAATAAATACCACGGAAAGTTAATAGCCAAATCCTTTCAGCAGCAGTGCTCTGGGAACCTGATTGGAATTTGAACATTTGCATTGATTTATAATTTTTTTTTGATGTTACCAGCTGGGAGCAAGTGCTGGAGAGAAGGTACAGGAACAGCTCTGCAGAAACAGGAACAGCTAGGGAAGGATTACCTCCAAAAGGATTATCTTTTAAACAAAGAAAAATTTGGTATACTGCAAACAACTAACTCAAATCAAAAGAAACAGATTAATCCAACAGGATTAACAGGTAAGGCTGCCCTGTACGTTAATGTCCAGACACACAGCTGAGGAACGTGAAGGGTTTTATTTAGCTGGTTTTATTAAAGGTGCAGTTCTGAAGCACCTTTTCCTGGTCCAAAATAAGGGCTGCCTGTTCAGATAAAACAAAAGCTTTGACAACTTATCCTGCAGCCTCCCAAGCAACAGAGATCTCCTGTCTTTTTACAGAGCCTTTTCCTTTACCCTTACATATGTAAGCTCTGATCATCCAGTCCTTTTAACTCCCGCCAGGAAGGAAGATTAGTCGCTGCCTGTACCGCTCCTGTGCTGTGAAATTTCCAGAACTGAGCACTTTTACTTCCCTCTGGGAGGCAGGGGAAGTCACAGAAAACTGAGATCAAGCTCCTCGTGGGTTTTTCTTTCCTGAATTGTTAACACTCACGTAAGCTTTTATGGCCATGGTACTACAGGATTACAAAAAGCAAAATAGCATCGATCTACTAAAAAAAAAAAACCAGCATCCATGTATTTGGAAACAATACACTCTCTATGTGCTGGAGCATCCCTGCCTTACCAATAGACATGTTGGTAGTATCTCTTACCTGCACTAAAGATTTGTATTGAAATCTATTTGAGTATTCTGGCAAACTGAATGAGGTAACCAACCAAGTTGAAAACAGAATTATTTTTTTTTTTAAAGCACAAAGACAAAGCCTCATTCATTTACTAAAATTATTTTTTACTGTGTTTTAATAATTTCTTTAAAAATTGTTTATTTAACATATATTTGAGGTTCCCCTGGGGTAAATTAAAAATCTTAGATACTTAAAAACACAACATAAGGCAGTTCAGTTCCTTTCTGTTTCACTCAGCCTCACGTACAGGTCAGCCCCCACTCTAATCCAGAGTTGAAACCGAATTCAGCAGCAGCCACAAACCTTCCCTCCTGATGATATGAAAGATTATCAACTCTGGTGAGTTTTCCCATCTAATAATTTTACATTTTCAACTTTTGAACTTATCACCTATTATTTCATAACCAACTAATCACTACACTGGTCCAGCACGTATTTCACAATTATTTAAAAGTGAATTCAGCATTAAGCAAAGACTCACCTCCTCCACCTCCAAGGAGGCTGGAATTAGCTGCAAGAAAAACAAAAGGAGAATCATTAGCATTGAACTTCCAAAATATAGGTAAAACCAAACCAGAAGATGTTTCACATGAGATTTTCCATTGTTTCAGTAACTTCACTACTCTTCACTTACCCAAAAACATTTAATGCAAAAACAATCATTTATGTAAATTGCAATTGCAATCTTTACCTTTGCAAAATCTTTGAGTGTAATAAATAAATAAAACAATAATATAACTACTAAAGCTAATGCACTGAATAGCTTATGAAATTACAACCTTGCATTTATACCTCCATAAACCATATTCCTTTGTGATCACCAAATGAACTAAAAAAAAAATTATTGTAGAGAAATTTCAATAGACTTTGATGGAACTTTTGATTAGCTTTCCTTGTTTTCTATGCCATGGGACCCTTGAGGATGAGAAACCCTGGCCCTGCTGATATAAAGGGTGTTTTCCCATTGTAGGCAATTAAGTTGGGATTTCCCTCAGCTTGCTTAATTGCCTCTGCACTGTAACCATCCAGCTACTCAGGCCAGAGCTTGATAAATCACTTATGGAAAGCAATTTTCAGAGCGTGGTGATACAAGATGGTCCTTCAAATTAAGCTTGCACAACTGGAGCCAAGCCAAACATTCTCCTTTCACTGCCTAGGCAGAACCAGAAGGAAAGCCTAAGCTTCTAAAACTGCCCCTTTTGGATGTGTGGGACACAAATCCTTGTTGTATCGGAATGTAGATAAAACACGGCATCAAAGCAAGAGCATAAGGGATGGACAGAGGTATTTCTGTTTGCTTTGTGATGAGTGAAGGAGAAGTGATACCTCAAACCATGTCCTGCTCCAAGACAAGGGTAGATGGCGAGACACACAGAATAAATTAGGTAGTTTCCTATATGTTACTGTATCTATTATTTTCCTCTGCTTCCTAAATAGAAGTCCTTAAACAGCAAATTCCCTGCTGTTGGGCTTTTTTTTCCCCTTACTTTCTTAATACTTTTATTTACATAAAATTGACAGTTATCTTTGTCTTCTTAATTTCTTTCTCAGATATTCTACAAACACCTTTGACTCAACATCCAATTTCAGCTCTACCATTTGCAGCCAGCTTTCCTTGACACTGCAGTAAAAATGTCTTCATCAGAAAGCCGGATTTTCCATCGAAGTACTACACCCAAGATCCATGATTTTTAAAAGCAACTTATACCATTAATACTGTTATCTTACAGTGTCTCAAAAAGTACCTCTATATTACTCAAAATGCAATGTTCTTTATAGAAATAAATGAGCAGTTTCATATCCAGCATAGCTGACCATATCAAATCCAAGTAAACTGCAAGCCAAGTTAGTTATCCATCCTAGGACTAGTTGTTCCTACACTCACTGAGGGAATGAATCAAGACCAGGATCAAGAGAGATGTTCTTGAGCATTTTTCTGATCCAAGTCTGGTTCTAATACTCTGGAAGATTAGATGAAGGGAAATGGGACAAACTGTTTCAGAAACACAGTAATTTGGGGCCATTTTAAAAGAAATGCCTCTTTGGTGATACAGAAAGTGTGGAGCAACAGGCACAAAATGGAAAATTTTAAAAAAGAGCAACACAATCATCCATATGTGATGGACACCTCTTGGCTCTCCTCTTTAAGGTGCTAGCAGGGAACAAATATTGCCATATATAAACTGCCTTTGACAAAGATATAATGGTAGTAGTGATAAATGTGTGCAGACATATTGCAAAGAAGGCCACTGAACATCAATCTTCCTGTATTTACCGGTTCTTGCCCTTACTGAAATTCACTATTAAACAAAGAAACAAATTAAAACCAGCCCCCTGTATTTTCACAGCAGTTTCCAAAGGCCTCCTGCAACAGGTAACATCCCCTTCCCTGCACTAACAAGTGTTTATCTGCGACAGAAATCAGCACAGCTCTTATCAGAAGAAAATAAAAGTAACAAAGTGTCATCTACTGCCACGAGCCTGCTATTCCAGCTTATTTCTTGGCACTGTAGAATACACCTACAATTACCATTCTAATTCTTGCAGGAGTCAAATTCTAGGATTTCGGTTATTATGTTTCAGAGACTCAAGACACAAAGCTATAACCTGTTATACCTCACTGTAACCAAAGTTTCCACTGCTAAAAAAAGTTTCTTGGGATAGCCAGCCAACATCCCCACTGCAAACTCTCATTCAATGGCTTCTCAGAGAATTATGTTTCTCTCATTAAGTTCTCCTGACAATGTTCATCTTTCCAATATGTTCTAAAACTTCTTAATAACATATAATATAAGTCAGCACCACACACTTCTCTATAGAAACAGCAAAAACAGTTCAAACAGATTTTTGGCTGCAATGCACCTACCCCAGCTATTGAAATTGCAGTAATAATTCATAGGCACTTTTTTTAAAGAATTCTGCTTGCATAATAGAAAGGAAATCAAACCATTTTCCTATGATTCCAGGAAAGAACAAATTATATTTACAGTTTCATTTCTAGAAAACATGTCACTCAAAAAGCAAGAACTTTCAGATTTTTCAGCCTGTCCCTGAAAGGTTCAATAAAACCCACCTCTCTTTCCATCTTTGGGAAAGCCTTGCCATGACAGAAGTAACTTGTCACTTAGCACCTAATGAATATTGTCCCAGCCAGAGCTCCTCCAGGAGGTCAGCACAGCCCCATGGCTGCAATCACATCACATCATGTTGGAGCAAGCACGGCCTCTCCTCTCAGTCCCTCTGTGTTTATCCACAGCTGCGTTTTGTCCGTCAGTGCTCCCAAACAATCCAGCCTTGGAAAACACTTTGGAAGCAGCCCCTGCTGTAGAGGCTCAACCGTGGGTTGACTCTGAGCAACCTGGTCTAGTGGAAGGTGTCCCTGCCCACGGCAGGAGAGCTGGAACAAGATGTTCTTTACGGTCCTTTTCAACCCAAACCATTCCATGATTCTAGGACTGTTGCCTGTAAATCCATCCCAACTAACCTCTTGCCCTTACTTCCCTATTCCAGAGCTGCACAAGACTCTGAAGTCATAGGAGACTTGGAGTGAGAGGAAAACAGGAAGACTGAATTGCTACCAAGTTACCAAGGCAAAGAACAGTAAAAGAAAGCAAACAAGAGGAGCTCCAAAGAACTGCGAGGTAAAGCCTTCTTGCACCTCATTTCACTGCCCATGTCACCCTTCCAAACTGACCTGCCCAAACTGTCTAAAATTCCCTCCTTATGAACTGCAGTCCACAACAGATTCCTGGGCATTAACTCTGAAAATCCACTCACAACACAAACCTTGAACTATTATTTTACTATGTACAGAGTGGTCAGGCAGCCAGCAGACCATGGACTGCCTTGCCAGACTGAAACATGACACACACTGATAATACCCCAGCCAAAACAGCTCACTTGGACATGGACCACAAGAGGCAGCAGAGGTGAGAGCTCACCTAATTCTAAATACTTTTGCCTGCACCAGTAACATAGGCTTCAATAAAAATTAATAATAATTAATTATTAAAAAAAAAAGCCGTATTTGGGGAATTTTAAGTAGTGGCTTCAGGATGAGACAAATCACAGCCCCAGAGATGCTACATGTCACCACTGCTTTAAAAGGAATCCTGAATGCTGCATTTGGAGAGACAGATCTCACCCTTACAGCCTGCATCAGTACAGGAAATGGAAATACATCTAGAAGTGGTAATATGGCTTTCAGCCCTGGAGTTCTGGGTTTCTCTTTAGCAGGGACATTAGAACCATTCACAGAAAAATTGTTTCTACAAAGTTCAGGGTCCTCTCTAAAAATATTCACTTAAAAAAAAACGGTCTCTAATCACTGAATATAACGATTTAGCCCTTAACTAGGTATTGATGGCACCAGATTCTACAAGAAATTCAGTATTTCAAATGTCTTGACACCTCAGTGGGTTAGATATTTATGTTTTTAGCAGCACCAGGGCAGCACTACTAAATGAACCCTATGAATACTGGTCTGTTGTACTCAGAGAACTCAACTCTTGCTTTAAGAAACAAAATTCCTTCCAAAACAATTCTGTGGGAAGTGAAGGGAAAAAAGAGAGAGGAGAGGAGAGGAGAGGTTCGGAGAGGAGAGGAGAGGTTCGGAGAGGAGAGGTTCGGAGAGGAGAGGTTCGGAGAGGAGAGGTTCGGAGAGGTTCGGAGAGGAGAGGAGAGGAGAGGAGAGGAGAGGAGAGGAGAGGAGAGG